CTAATATGACTGCTGCCTCAATTCACCTCCCAGACAGGTCTCATCTTCTGCTTAGTGTGCTGTGAGAGAGACTTAGGCTTAAATTGTGATTCACCATTAATGTCCTTGGATATATTGCTTAATTTCTGGGTAATCTGAATTAACCCTACAAATATGGAGCCCACGGTATACCAGGCATTGTGCCAGGTACTACAGACCCATGGATAAACAGCTCGAACATGCCCCTGCCTGCAAAGCGTGCAATGTCTGGGAGGCAGGGGAGGTAGCTAAAGGAATAATTTTAATACACAGCTGAAAGGAAATCAGATGTGCAGATGCCCACTCACCCAACTTGGATGATAATAGTTAATAGACTCGTCGAAACAGTCAGCAAAGTAGGGGGTCATTAAAAATGTTATCAACATGCCTTAAATGTTCTATTTCAATTTAAAGCAGATTAGAGGTTGCCAGGAGACAGGGCAGCAGGGGAATGAGGAGTGGTAACTTAAGAGTACAGGGCATTCTTCTGGGATGATGAACAAGTTTTGACACTAGACAGAGGTGGTGGTGGCACAACATCATGAATGCACTAAATGCCATTGGCTTTTGAATCGTTAATTGTATGTATGTTATATGAATTTCATTTCAATAAAAAATACAAATGTATAGGCTGGGTGTGGTGGCTCATGCCTATAATCCCAGCACTTTGGGAGGCTGAGGTGGGTGGATCATGAGGTCAGGAGTTTGACACCAGCCTGGCCAATATGGTGAAAGCCCGTCTCTACTAAAAATACAAAAAGTTAGCTGGGTCTGGTGGCATGCATCTGTAGTTCCAGCTGCTTGGTAGGCTGAGACAGGAGAATTGCTTGAACCCAGGAGATGGAGGTTGCAGTGAGCCGAGATTGCACCACTGCACTTCAGCCCGGGCAACAGAGCAAGACTCCATCTCAAAAAAAAAAAAAAATGTATATTATTTTGCCAATCTTTTGATGTAAGACTAAGGACTTTTCCTGAAATGTATGTCCAATAATTGAAGTCCCAGGTTATCTTTCTGACATAAAACACATCCATAATATATATACACGTTTTATTTCTATTTTAATTTATTTAAATTGGAGCAAGAACATAGATACTGACAAATCTATGTCACAGCAGAATCTTTTTAGATTTTTAATGATTTATTTCCATTTACAATTTTACATCAATGAGAGCAACTTTTAGAAGCTTACATTTGTCTTTGTACATTATAGAAACAACTTTCTATACTCATATTTTATGAATTTACATAAGATTTCCTTAAATAACATAGCTACAACAATAAGTAAAACTGTTATAAAATAATTTAGATCAAGCACATCTGACTCTTGGTAGGCAAAAATGGAATTCACCTGGTGAGGGCAGTGGTAAGATGGGTGTATAGAGAGCAGCTTATCAGTTTTAAGCCTTGGGGATGGCAGGGCTGTAGTCAGTGTGCTTTACAAGAAATTACATGTATCGAGCTGGTTAAATAGAGGCCATTTTAAAGGTATTTGTAATACAGTGGATGCCCAGAAGAAGGATGCTTAACCTGAACTGGGGGTTGGGGAACACCTTTCCAAGGGAAGTGACATAAGCTGAGGTCTAAAGGTGTGGAAGAACCTAGCAAGAAGAAAAGTCAGATCTGTTTCAAGCACTGGAAACAGCTAGAGAGAGGAGAACTCTTACACTGGAGGAACAGCAAGAAGTATTGCTGGAGTGTGGCATGCAGAAGGGGATGTGTTGAAGATGAAACTTGGAAAGGATCTTCTAAGCCATGTTAAGAAGTTGAGGCTTTATTTTAGGGATAGTGGAAAACCATGGACAATTTTTAAGTAGATGACTGACATAATCAGACTTGTGTTTTAGAAAGATTCCCTGGTCTGCATTCCAGGGACCAGATGAGAGATGGTGGTAGGGAAGTCCAGTGACGAGGCTATCAAGGGAGTGGTGATATGAGCCTAGTACTACAGGGATGGAGAAGAGAACACATCAGCTCTGAGAGGCAGCTGGGGGTAGATTGCATAGGGGTTTAGTGGCCAAGTATATTTTGGGGGTGAATGAAAGAAGGAAGACCAGCTTTGGTGATGGTGTTATTTGCTGAAATAAGAACATGGAACGAGAGTTGCTTTGAAAAGATGAGGTAAGCTTAGAATATACTGAATTTGAGGTCTAATGAAGCTGTGGGATGTCCATTAAGTAGCTAGCCATGTTAACTCTAAAACTGGATCTCAGAGGTTAAAGTGGCCAAAAAGTCATGTAAGGTAAGGAATGGAAAGTATGCAATGAATTTTATCAATGAGGAGGCCCCTGGAAACATTGGTGAAAGCAGCTTTAGAAAGCAGGTAGGGACATGAGCCCAGTGGTAATGGGCTGAGGAGCATGTTGTGGGCATGAGGAGAGGAGCATGTTGTGGGCATGAGGAAATGACCATGGGTGCTTAGAGAATTTGGGCTTTGAAGGGGAGGACAGAGTAGGGGAATTTCCAGAGGAGCTGGAAGAGGAGTAGGAGATGAAGAACATATTTAAGCATTGCTAAGATGAGTCAGTAGAAAAGTCTGACACTACTACCAGTACCCCAGAGCACAGATGGGCCAATGCTGCTCAGTAGTTTATGCCACAGTGAAGATGAATGCCTCTTTCTATTTATTCTCTCCATCAGGTATTTCCAAAGCAATATTGCCTGGCTTTCCAAAGTCTCAGAGACTTGGGTGAAGATGTGTCTTCTGATTTTTATGTACCATTCTCTCTTTTTCCAAGGAACCAGAACCGAGTCTATGGAAATCTGCACCTGGGATGTTTGTATTTTTTGCAGAGACAGGGTTTTGCCATGTTGCCCAGGCTAGTCTTGAACTCCTGAGCGCAAGCAATCCGCCTGCCTCAGCCTCCCAAAGTGTTGAGATTACAGACGTGAACCACCTCGCCTGGCAGACCATAATGCTTTACATGGGCTTACTCACTTATCCTCTCACAACAGTGTTCCATACTAAGTGTGGGTTTCTGCATTTAATCCCCTCATTATTTCCTCCCTTTCATTTGCAGCATTTACCTTTCTACTGACTCATCTTAGCAATGCTTAAATATGTTCTTCATCTCCTACTCCTCTTCCAGCTCCTCTGGAAATTCCCCTACTCTGTCCTCCCCTTCAAAGCCCAAATTCTCTAACTGATTAAGCACCCAGGGTCATTTCCTCATGCCCATATGCTCCTCAACCCATTACCATTGGTGCACACCTGTAGTCACAGCTACTTGGGAGGCTGAGGCACGGGAATCACTTGAGCCCAGGAGCTCAAGGCTGCAATGAGTAGCGACTGTGCCATTGTTAGTTCCTTTCATTCTCTATGCACTGCCCTTCCCTCATTTTGTTTCATCTGTGCCCTGATATGGTTACTTTGGCTGGTGCCTTTTAGGCTGCATACATTACCCAAGCAATTCTGGATGGGCATCTAGGTTTAGAAACTAGTAGAGGCTGGTCTCATGACTTGCCTGTCCCCTCTTCCCATATATGGCCTCAGCAAATCCCATTTCTCAAATACGTACTCTCATTTTCACTGTCATGTTTAGCTGCTCAGCAGAGGTGACGGGCTCCTAACCACACCGGAGTCATCTCATGTACTCACTCAGACTTCAGAGTATCCTAGCTTTCCGTTCTTTTAACTAGGCCAAGATGGGAGCTTTCTGTTCATTGTGGCAAGAGTCTCTTTTCTCCTCATAGACTTATTCCGATGCTTATCTTTAACTATTAACCAGAATTATTAAATGCTTAGTTCACTGCTTGCACATAGTTTTCAAAAAACTGAATTTTCCTTTCCTTAATTCTGTTTGACACATCTTGTCTCCTCACTGCTCACCTCTAAGACATTTTTCTACCGTACAAGCCCTCTTCCTTACGCCCTCTTTTGGTGTGTTTCTTTCCAATTATTTCTATGCTTTGGAAAAATATAATTTAAAAAATACTGCATGTTCTTTTTTTTTATTTGCTATTTTAACGTAACTATTTTCTTGTTAAAATTATTAACTATAATTTTGATAACTGCTAGATTTTTTTTTTTGCCTTTGAGACAGAGTCTTGCTCTGTCACCCAGGCTGGAGTGCAGTGGTGCAAGATTGGCTCACTGTAACCTCAGCCTCCTGGGTTCAAGTGATTCTCCTGCCTCAGCCTCCCAAGCAGCTGGGATTACAGGTACACACCACCCAGCTAATTTTTGCATTTTTAGTAGAGACGGGGTTTCACTACGTTGCCAGGATGGTCTTGATTTCTTGACCTCATGATCCACCCGTCTCAGGAAGTGCTGGGGTTACAGGTGTGAACCACGACATCCAGCCAACTGCTAGGTATTTTATCTTACAGCTGTATCAAGCTTCATCTGGCCATTTTCCTATAATTAAGCATCTAAGTGCTCATGTCTTTACACATAAATCTTTGTTCACATTGTTTATTATTTCCCTACCTGAGGCTTCTAGAAGTGGGATTACAATGGTAAGCATTTTAAGAGGAATACAAAAGCTAGTTTCACATTAAGAACTAGAAGTGATACTGTTGACTCACCAGCAGAATACTAACTTTTCAAGTCCTGATATTACAACAAAAAAGAATAGCTTTATGAATCTCATTCATTTTATAAGTAGGAACATCTTCTTCATCTTAAAAATACTAATCACCTAAATGCTTACAGTGTTATAAGTTCACTGTTCAGAGAACTATATAGCTCTGATCCCTTCATTCCAAAAATTTACATTCCAAGGAAGATATATGTATGTGAAGATTCACCAAATGCAGACCAGAACTATTGAAAATGCCCCAGGGATAGACCTCCAAATGAGTTTAGGGTAATTGCCCTTCAAATATTAGGACCAAAGTACATTTATTTTATAGATGGGGGAAGGGAGCAGACAAGTGGGGACCAGTTGAGACATCTTACCTGGACAAATGGAAGGAACAAATGTGTGATCTGCTCATTCTCTATGAGAGTCTCTGTTGTTGTGTATTTCCTCCTCTCTTCCAGAGCATAATAACAAATGGCTGCTCTCAGAAAAGTACTGTGACCACAGAAAGGTATTCACTTGGCTCGCCAACCTCCTTCTCCATTTCCCTCTTGACTCCCCTTTTCCATATCATCTTCTGTCCCCTAGCCTTGCCTCAGGTCCCCAATGAATCCTGCCCTTAATCTGTGGGGGTGGTAGGTGGCACTAGTTTGAGGAGCTTACTGGATCTCCCTCAGTGAGTCAGCCTGGAGTTGTGTTCGAAAACCCAGACCTCCCAGATACCACCTGCTGCTGTCTGTCATCATCTACAGGTGCTGGGCTCCCTTGCGGGCCTCCTCCTCCTGCCTCTGCTGCAGCTGTCCCATGGGTGCCTGTCCTCTCTGACATCACAAGAGAACCCATCTAGATTCCAGGAACAAACATCTTTATTTGCCTCCTTCCCACTGAAGGTAAAAACAACATTAATAACCACAACAAATACTTAGTGAGTGTTTACTATTATTCATTTAATTGTTGGTCCTTCCATCCCTGGCCACGACAAGAGACATGTCACAACTTACTCCTTAAGAGACCTGAGGACACACATACACAAACATATCGGGCATACCATCACTAGTACCAAAACTGATTTTCCCTGTCTACCCAGAACAGGCCTGAGGGAGAGGGGAAAGCGGATACCCACCTGTGTCGCTGTTTATGTGCCAAGTCCAGGAACAGTCCATACAGCCCTGCTGCATCCCATGACGCTGTCACCAAGAAGGAGGTCATCTGAGGCTGAGGTGTTGCCATCAGAACGTTCATCAAAGTAGCGACGCTGACTTCGTTCTTAGGCAGATTATCTTCCTGTGGAGTATCCAGACTGTTTGCCTAGTTTTCTTGTTCTTCTGGGGTCTGTTTACTGTATTCCAGCTACCAAAGTGGTAGAAGTAAAATTGAAAGAGTTCTAAATAGCTTTTTTCCATGTTAGCTCCCTTGCATTAATGTGGCCCTATCATCATTTGATGATTTGGTGACTGCAGTTATCCATACTAGCTCTCCTACCACTGACTACTGAGAGTTAATTATTATTGAATATCCATCCATCCAGGGTGAGTTATAACTTATGCCAGGTGTTTTGGTAAATAATACTAATGCAATTCATTTTACTGTTTACCCTCTCATCTTAAAGTAATCAGCTGGTAAAATAAGATGGATTGGATTGGTACTTAAAGTTTTTTTCTCTGTGAGGCTTCTGCCCTATTCATATTAAACTGTTTTAAAATTTATTTTACTATTCATACTTCCTGTCCATGAATCATATAATCATGTCCTTTGCCCATTTATCCATTGGGAATATTGTTAGTGTTCACATGTATGTTTGAATAAATTTTCATATACTTGGTGCTGATAATTCTATTTTTCATTTGTGTTAACTTTTTTGTATTTATTGTTAGTTATTTCTCTTAGAAGTTAAAAATTTATGTAATTATATTTGACTATTTTATTTAATTTCCAATTTCTTCATTTGCTCCACTTGTAAGAAAATTATCACTTTAAAGTGAGACTAAAAGCCCTATATATTCTTTTGGGTCTCTATTTCCCACCATCCCTGAGATTTTACTCTGACATTCTCTAGGCCTTATAGCCCAGGCCCCATAACTATTCAATGCATTATATTCACAAAGGTTTGATGCTTGTGTTATGACTTCAATTGAGTAGTTACCTTAGAGCCTATTACCTTATTTATCCTGTATTTAGAACTATTTCCCATGTTTTCTGTTGTCCAAGGGGCTTATAAATCACACCCAACTTCACTCATTCACTTACTCATTTACTTATTCATTCACACTTCCATTTATCCATTCATTTACTATATTTGGCTCACAAACTCTAGGGTGACCAACGGTGATCCCTGCTTCCTGGTGTGTTCACTCTTGTGTGTAGGCAGGACCTGGGACTTGTTTCTGACCAACAGAATATGGCAAAAGTGGTGAGATGTTCTTCCTGTGATTGTGTTATATAACACAAGCCTCTGTCTTGCTAGGAGAGTCACTCTAGACACTCTCCTTGTTGGCTCGATGAAGTAAGCAGTCATGTTGGGGAAGATCTCCTAGTGAGAAACCCTGGGCAGACTCCAGCTAGCAGTCAGAAAGAAACCTGGATCCCTGGTCTTACAGCTGCATGGAAATGAATTCTGCCAATAACCTGAGTGAGCTTAAAAGGGGTTTATTCCTCAGTCAAGTATCCAGATGAGAACACAGCCCAGGTGATACCTTGATTGCAGTGTTGTGAGACTCTAAGTAGAGGGCCCATCTAAGCCATGCCCTTACCTAGAAACTGTAAGATAACAGTTATTTTGAGCCACAAAGTATGCAAAGTATGCAGTAATTAGTTATGCAGAAAGAGAGAACAAGTACACTGTGCTGTGCTAATTATCATATGCATGATCTCTTAGTGTTTCAAGTAATGTCATAATGCTGATATTAATGTTATCTTCATTTACAGAAGGAGAAACTGAGGCTTGGAAGTTGATCTCCAGAACGTTTTGCTCTTAGCCACTATACTATTATGGTATGTTTTATCTTAATGTCTTGCATTGTTTCACGGGTTCAAGTTTATCATGTCCTTTGACAAGTTTAAAAATCTATCTGCTAAAACCTGTCAAATACATTAAGGAAAAGTCCTGCATGGCACATCTCGCACACAAGGTAGATGTTTTTAAGTTCAACTCTATAAAGACATTTCATTTAACTGTTTTGTGCTGTACTTATATCATACATCTTGTAGAAATAATATTTGATTCATGAATAGGAAAGGTTTTCTTAAAAGTGATGGACTGTGAACTATTTAGAAGAAAGAATAATCATGGCAGACATGAGTCCTAAATGCTTTGAATTTATCTGGAATTAGAACATTCAGAAAAACATTAGTTAAAATGTGCTGCAGATTGAATTGTCTTTAATTTTGTGTAAGACTAAAACATTTAATCTCTGTCTTAATGTTAACATTTCTGATCAGGTATAGGCAAAAATATAATATAGAGATATTTAGAAACAGGGTTTTTTTTAAACAACTAAAGTCCTATTTGGTTCACTGTTCTGAGGAGTTAAGGTGGAATTGTGATGTCTTCTAATAAAAGTCCTTTTTGTTCTGCATTATCAGATGTTAATTATTCATACTGCATGGCTGAGGATTGTGGAAGCAGAAAAAGATTTACCTGCGATATCTGGAACACCAATGGGGGTCTACATCAACCCAGAATTTATACAGCAGCTGGTGCTAGTCAAAGCTAATGAGAGAATTTCAGTTTAATAAAAAGACCCCCAACTGAGCACACCATCTTGAAAAAAGTATACTTATCAAACAACTTTCAATCAGTTCAAGAGAGACACCTTAATTGGGAAGAGGAAGAATTGCAGAGTAGTTCGTAATCATGCCAATTCTAGATCAATAACTGCATGTCTGTTCTGTGGTAGACATAGCTTTTGCTTCATATGAAGTAATCACATATAAATTCTCTCTATTTGGATAAGGAAACCTTTGCTTTATTTGACAATGTATAATGATATCCTCTTTTAATACACCTCTGTGTCTTCATAATAAACATGAGTAAAATTTAGACATGTGATGGTAAAAGTCAATATAAATGTTGATTTTTAAAATAAACTTTGTATCTAACAGGAAAGAAGTGATTATGAAATTTTTATATTTTCAAAAATAATTTTGTCGAAATAAAATTATATGAATAAAGTTAAGTGATGATGGTTTAACTATAAGAAGAGTATACTGAACACTGATAATCTGACTTGTATGAGATTACTTCAGGGAAGGCTGTACAGAACAATCTAATAAAAAACAAAAGAAGACAGTTTACTTTTTGCAGGAAGGATTTGGAATACTAAAGAACAATATGATTCAGTCATCGAGTCTTAGTTTCCTTTTGTTAAATGGAAATAGTCATTCAAACTGATGGCTTTCAACTTGTTCATAGGCTACTAGTCTCAGCGGTGCATTACAGGGCACTATGGGGCAGGCAGGGCAGGTGGAGAGGGCAGTGAGGGGAATATGGCCCAACAGGGAGATTGAGACAAAGCCTGCAACGGGGGCGGGCTCTGCAGTTTCCTTTCTCACATCATCAACAAGCGTAGATCCTTTCTTTCTGCCTGCCTGTCTTTCCCCCCTCTTCCTTCCTTCCCTCTCTCCAAACTGTATCTATTTATATAGACATACATTTAGGAATGGAAATATTGGGCTTCTATATAAAATTTCTTTTTGCAAAATAGGGTTCCTCTTCTAAAATACAGTTTGAAAATCACTGGACTAGATAATTCTAAGTTTTCTTCCTTCCAACGTTTCAGTGACTGTTACGATTTCAAGATCCAGGAAGAATACAGCAAAGGAGATTGAAAATCTTTTAGGACACACAACAAACACCTATCTTGCATAAATCGTAGTTCATCTAAAAGGCAAAGCTATGGGTGAAATGGCATTTTAGGACGCTTTCAGATATACGGGACTGTCTTAGTTCATTTGCGTTGCTTTAAGGCATCCCTGAAGCTGGGTAATTTATGAAGAAAAGAGGTTTATTTGGTTCACAGTTCTGCAGACATGACACCAGCATCTGTATCTGGTATATGGCAGAAGAAGAAGAGGAGCCAGCACATAGAGACATGTCAAGAGAGAAGAAATAAGAGAGATGGGGAAGGTGCCAGGCTCTTTTTAACAATTAGCTCTCAGGGCAACTCCCATGGGATCTAAGAGTGGGAACTCGCTGTTTACTGTGAGGATGGCACCAAGCCATTCATGATGGATTCAACCCCATTATCCAGCACCTCATACCAGGCCCCACCTCCAACATTGGAAGTCAGCTTTCAAAATGACACTTGGTGGAACCAGACAAAACATAGCAGAAACTATGTTTAATAGGTTCAGTTTTTCGGGTTTTTTTCCCAGAGTAACTGTGTAGAGCAGAGCCATGTTCACTTAGGCACTTAATCTACTCAATGATGTTTGGGCAAAGAAATACTTATGACCTAATTTTAAAAATAAAAGATTTTTGCATTTAGAGAATCATATGCTATTAGAGCTGGTAGGATACTCTGAAGTCATCTTACTCATTTTATATATTTATTTACTCATTAAATTGATAAATTTTTATCGAATTTGAGTATGTGCCAGCCATCATGTTAGGTGTTGGGGAAACAGTATACTGTCCCTATCTGTAAAGAGATTATGCTTTAGTGGAGAAGACAGGCAATTAAACAATCATACACATAAGCATATAATTACAAATTTGTATAAGTACTATTAAACAAAAGAAAAGGGTTCCCTGGCTGAGCGCGGTGGCTCACGCCTGTAATCCCAGCACTTTGGGAGGCCGAGGCGGGTGGATCACGAGGTCAAGAGATCGAGACCATCCTGGTCAAAATGGT